ACAATTCTCTGAAAGGGCAAAGGAATAGAATTGAAGAGATGGAAGCCAGAACCAGTGAACTTAAAGACAAATCTCTCAATACTGCTAAGATAGAATAGCACACAGAAAAAAAGAATTTAAAAATCTGAAGAAAGTCTAAGATTCATGTGGAAGAACATGAAAAGGAATAACTTGAGGGTTATTGGAGTTCCAGACAAGAAGGATCACAGAAGACCACAGAGGAGATAGTTGAAGAGCTGCTGGAAGAAAATTTACCTAACATTCTGGAAGATGAGAAAATAAGCATTCAGGAAGCTCAGTGAGCCCCAGGAAAGATAGACCACAAAAGGAAATCACCAAGACATACTATAATCAAGCTCTCCAAAATCAAAGACGACAAGGAAAGAATCCTGAAAGCACCTAGGGCAAAGAGAAGTGTTACTTACAAACGGCAAGCAAATAAGGTTAAGCTCTGATCTCTCAGCAGAAACATGCAGGCAAGAAGGCAATGGAAAGACATAAATGAAACCCTCAGAGAAAATAACTGCCAACCAAGAATCATCTACTAGGCAGTGTTTCTTTCTGTTGTGCATAGGGTCACTATGAATTGGTACTGACTCGATGGCACCAAACATGAACAACATAAAGTCACAAAGTGGCTGGCTTACAGATTTTCAATTTTAGTTTCAGAGTGTGCAGGGGAAGGTAGAATCCCCACTGAATAGCTTTCATCTTGTCTAGATGGGTCTGGTGAAAGGAGATAGGGATAGGATTCATTTGATTCAGTAGTAAGTAATTGTTATAATGACTAATTGTGATTGTCACAACTGAAAGGTATAAGTTGTGTAACAAAAAGTGGGGAGAAGTTAGCATTACAATCCAGGAACAGAGGACCCTAGGACCATCCAGAGAGAAGAGTATGAGCAGAATGTGGACCTTAACCAAAGAAGTAGTGATGCAAGAGATTGAAGCAGAGGTGATGGCATGGAAGGATGGAGTAGCTGAGGACTCTAGACTCATGGAAAGAGAAAGGCTGTGTGCTGGTGGCCAGGAGGCTGGCTTGCAGAATGTACGTTT